TAGAGAACTCCCAGGAGGCCCAGGATAGACACAACAAGGGACCAGATTCAACAACATCAGAGCAAAATCCAGGGAGCCCCACAAATAGAGGGCCCAAAGCACCTGTATAACAGTTGGCACAACAACATTGGGGTTGAAGTTCACTGGCAGCAAGTCAGAGGGGAAATCCCTCCCACAAACAGGACATCAAAAATCAAGTCACAATTACAACAGCAGAGCCCAAAAAATGCACACAAGGAGCATTCTAGAAATCCAGCTCAGGTAAACAAAGACTACTTCCTGGACCCCCCCCATGACACTTCTTCATAAGGCCATCCCATAAAGACTGGGAGGCATAGCAGTTCTATCTAATAAATAGAAGGAAATACAACGAGAGAACTAAAATGGGAAGACAAAGAAACAGCCTCCAAATGAGAGAAAAGAAGGACTCTTTAGAAAAAGAACTAAATGAGATGGAGGTAAGCAATCTATCAGACATAAAGTTCAAACAATGATTATAAAGATGCTTACGAAATTTAGTGCAAATTGCAACAGCATGAAAAAGTAAATAAGAGGCCATGAAAAAGAACCAGACAGAAATGAAGAATGATATATTGTATCTCACATCACGAACATACTGAAGGGATTAAAAGTAGATTGGATGAAACAGAGGACCAAATCAGTGATTTGGATGACAAGGTAGAAATAAATACCCAATTAGAGCAACAAATATAAAAAAGTATTAAAAAGCAGGAAGATAGCTTAAAGGAGTTCTGGGACAACATTAAACATAACAATATCTGCCAAACTGGTTTGGCTCAGTGAATAGAGCATTGGTCTGCGAACTGAAAGGTTCCATGTTTGATTCAGGTCAGGGGCATGTACCTTGGTTGTGGGCATATCCCCAGTTTGCAGAAGGCAGCTGATCGATGATTCTCTTTCATCAATGTGTCTGACTCTCTATCCCTCTCTCTTCCTTTCTGTAAAATATCAATAAAATATATTTTTAAAAAGAAAAGCATTCTAACAAACACTAGTGGCAAAAAACACTAGAAAATAAAAAGAAAACAGACAAACAAACAAAAAACCATAACAACATCTGCATTACAGGAATAGCAGAAGGGGAAGAGGTTGAGCAAGGAATAGAGAACCCATTAAAAGAAATAATCACACACACACACATACACACACACACACACACACACACACACACACGAAAAAAAAAGAAAGAAATAATGACAAAAACTTGCCCAACCTGGTGAAGGAAAATGTATCACAAGTGCAGGAGGCACAGAGAGTTCCAATCAAGATGAACCCAAACAGATCCACACCTACACACATCATAATTAAAATGGCAAATGGCCCTAACCTGTTTGGCTCAGTGATAGAGTGTTGGCCTGCAAACTGAAGGGTCCCAGGTTCCATTCTGGTCAAGGACATGTACTTTGGTTTTGGACACATCCTCAGTAAGGTATGTCTTCCTCTCTGTAAAAAAAATCAATAAAATATATTTTGAAAATAAAATGGCAAATGTTAAAGACAATAAATAATCTTAAAGGCAGCAAGAGAGAGACAGAAAATTACCTACAAAGGAGTTCCCATTAGAATGTCAGCTGACTTTTCCATAGAAACACTTCAGGTCAGAAAAGAGTGGCATGCAGTACTAGAAGTAATGAAAACCAAGGGCTTAGCCGAAACTGGTTTGGCTCAATGGCTAGAGTGTCGGCTTGGGGACTGAAGGGTCCTGGGTTCGATTCCGGTCAATGGCATGTACCTTGGTTGCAGGCATATCCCCAGTAGGGTATGTGCAAGAGGCAGCTGATCGATGACTCTCTCTCATTGATGTTTCTAACTCTCTGTCTCTCTCCCTTCCTCTCTGTACAAAATCAATAAAATATATTAAAAAAAGAAAAAAGAACAGAAAACCAAGGGCCTAAATCCAAGACTACTATAACCAGTGAGGCTATCATTTAAAATTGAAGGTGAAATATAAAGCTTTCAAGACAAAAAAACAACATCAACAAAACAGTTAAAGAAGGACACTGCCACCAAACCAGCAATGAAGAAATGTTAAAGGGACCACTCTAAGAAGGAAAAAGAAGAGCAGAGGAGGGTGGGCTATGGGGGGGCGGGGGGAGAGTAAGAGATCAACCAAAGGACTTATATGCATATATATAAGCATTGCCAATGGACACAGACAGTAGAGGAGTATGGGCCTATGCCGAGGAGCAGGAGTGGGCGGAGAGAGGTCAATAGGGGAAAAAGGAGGCATATATAATACTTTCAACAGTAAAGAATTTAAATTAGTGTGCCACACCAGCACAGGCAAGGGTTCGGCGAGCCTGAGGGAGGGCTGGTGAAAGATGAAGAAAAAGACAGACAATGAGAATAAGCTGGGTCTAGGTGGATCTTCTGTGCCTGGCTGAGGCCACAGAGCAGAACCAGACTGCAAAGCTCATGCTTTATTTATAAACAGAGACAAACAAGGTAATCTACAATGTTGTTGTAAGTTTCACTTGTTTTGGCAGCTCTTGCTGCCCTTCCCTCAGCCCATTAGTACCCAGGAAAGATCTAGGGAGCAGTCATAAGATCAAGCTTTATGCTTGGAGGACTGTGCCCTCTACGCTGGGACTTGTTTGCAACTTGGCCAGCAGGTCAGTTGGAGGCTTAACCCTATAACCACTTCCTACAAATTAGCCCTACCCGGTTTGGCTCAGTGGATAGAGTATGAGCCTTCAGACTAAAGGGTCCCAAGTTTGATTCTGGTAAAGAGCACATGTCTGGTTTGTGGGCTCGATCCCCAGTGAGATTGTGCAGGAGGCAGCCAATCAATGACTCTCTCTCATCATTGATGTTTCTATCTCTCCCTCTTCTTTCCTCTCTGAAATAAATAAAAAAATATTTTTAAAGAAGAATTTAAATTTAAAAATAAAAATAAAAATGGCACCCTGCCAGAGTTTGAGTGTTGACCTCTGAACGAGGAGGTCACAATTAAATTCTGAGTCAGGGCACGTGCTCCATTTGCAGGCTCCATCCCCAGTGTGTACTGTGCAGGAGGCAGCCAATCAATGATTCTTATCACTGATTTTTATATTTCTCTCTTCCTCTACCTTCCTCTCTGAAATCAATAAAAAATATTTTTTTAAAAAGAAAAGAAAAATGGCAATAAGTAAATACCTATCAATAATAACCTTATGTGTAAATGGATTAAATGTTCCAGTCAAAAGACATAGGTTGACTGACTGGATAAGAAAACATGACCCATATATGTACATTCTACAAGAGACCCTCCTCAGAACAAAAGACACACACAGACTGAGAGTGAAGAGGTGGAAAAATATATTCCGTGCAAATGGAAAGGAAAAAAAGCTGGGGTAGCAATACTCATATCAGATAAAATAGACTTCAAAACAAAGACCATAACTAGAGACAAAGAAAGCCACTTTATAATACTAAAAGGAATGATTCAACAGAAAAATATAACCATTGTAAACATATATGTACTTGCGGAAACCGGTTTGGCTCAGTGGATAGACCATCGGCCTGCGGACTGAAAGGTCCCATCAAGGGCATGGACATTGGTTGCGGGCACATCCCCGGTAGGGGGCGTGCAGGAGGCAGCTGGTTAATGTTCCTCTCTCATTGATGTTTCTAGCTCTCTACCCCTCTCTCTCCCTTCCTCTCTGTAAAAAAATCAATAAAATATATGAGCACCCAAGTACCTAAAAAAAACCTCTTCATGGACTTTAAGGGAGAGATTGACAGCAATACAGTCATGGTAGGGACTTTAACACCCCACTGACATCACTGGATAGATCTTCCAGACAAAAAATTAACAAGGAAACAGAGACTCTAAATGACACACTAGATCTGATGGATCCAACTGAAATTTACAAAACTTTTCACCCCAAAGCAACAGAATATACGTTCTTCTCAAGTGCACATGGAACTTCTCAAAGATAGACCACATTGTAGGGCACAAAACAAGTCTATACAAATTCAGTGAGATTGGTTTAATACCAAGCATCTTCTCGGATCACAATGGCATGAAGTAAAAAAAATCAACTACAGAAAAAAAAACACACAAAACTTAAAAACAATAAAAAACATGGAGGCTAAATAGCATGTTATTAAACAATGAATGTGTAACCAAATATATTAAGCAAGAAATTAAAGACTTTCTAGAAATAAATGAAAATGAACACACAAACACCCAAAACCTACGTGGCATGGCAAAAACAGTCCTGAGAGGGAAGTTCATGTACTATAAGCCTAACTAAAGAATAAGAAAAAGTACTAATAAACTAACCCTACACCTGAATGAATTAGAAAGAGAACAGCAAGAAAAGCCCAGAGGAAGTAGAAAGAAGGAAATAATAAAGATCAGAATGGAAATAAATGACAGATTAAAAAAAACAGCACAACAGTACAAAAGATCAATAAATTCAAGAGCTGGTTCTTTGAAAAGATAAACAAGATTGATAACTCCTAGCCAGACCCATCAAGAAACAAAGAGAGAAGGCCCTAATTGGTTTGGCTCAGTGGATAGAGTGTCGGCCTGCAGACTGAAGGATCCCAGGTTGGATTCTTGTCAAGGGCATATACCTTGGTTGCAGGCATTTCCCCAGTGGGCACTCTCTATCACTCTACCTTCCTCTCTGTAAATAAATAAATAAATAAATAAATAAATAAATAAAAATCAATTAAAAATATTTTTAAAATAAAAGAAACAAAGAGAGAGGACCCAAGTAAATAAAATCAGAAATGAAAGAGGTAATATAACAACAGACATCACAAAAAGGATTGTAAGAAAATACTATGAACAACTATATGCCAACAAACTGGACAACCTGGTTGAAATGAACAAATTCCTAGAAACATACAATCTTTCAAAACTCAACCAGGAAGAATCAGAAAACCTGAGTAGGCTATTGACAACTGATGAAATTGAAGCTGTAATTTAAAAACTTCTAGCAGCTCTTTCTCTGCCACCGAGGGACATGTCTTCTCCTTCCTTCACTATGTCTTCCCACAAGACTTTCAGGACCAAGAGATTCTTGGCCAAGAAACAAAAGCAGAATCAGCCTGTTCCCCAATGGATTCGGATGAAAATTGGCAATAATATCGGGTACAACTCGAAGAGGAGACATTGGAGAAGAACCAAACTGAGTCTATGAGGAATCACACATGAGAGATGACTCACATATTTATGCTGTATCCAGGTTGCCTACACCTTTAAATGATTGAAAATATCGCTATTGTCTGGACAGTTGGGGCATTTTAATTGGAAAATTAATGGACTCATGATTTTGCTCTGTTGACCCCCCATCCCCTGCAGTTGTAGGTTGGTTCAGTAATAAATGTGTGAGATCTTTTATTTTTTTATTTTTTAGATAGAATTATTTTTTTATTTTTTAAATATATATTTTATTGATTTTTTACAGAGAGGAAAGAAGAGGGATAGAGAGCTAGAAACGTCGTTGAGAGAGAAACATCCACCAGCTGCCTCTTGCACACCCCCTACCGGGGATCTGCCTGCAGCCAAGGTACATGAGCAGAGTTGAACCCGGGACCTTTCAGTCTGCAAGCTGACACTCTATCCATTGAGCCAAACCTGTTTTGGCTGTGTGAGACCTTTTAAAAAAATAAATAAAAATTTCCAGCAAACAACAGTCCTGGACCTGGTTCATTTTTATCTCCCATAGTTAAAAAATATTTTCTTTTGTTAATCCTCACTTGAGGATATTTTTTCCACTGATTTTTTTGAGAGAGTGGAAGGAAGGGAGAAAGGCGGAGGGGGTGGAGGGGGAGTGGGGAGAAACATCAGTTGGTTGCCTCCCACATGTCCTTGGCTGGAAATTGAAGCTGTGACCCTGAAGTGTGTGGGCCAACCTTCTGACCACTGAGCGACATGGGCCAGGGTCTCCCATAGTTTCTGCTGAGCAGCTCAGCTGGGTGGTTCTGGCTCCGAGTCTCTCCTGAGGTTGAAGTCAAGCTGGGGCTGTATTCACCTGATGTCTTGGCTAGAGCTAAAGGATCCCATTCCAAATGGCCCACCCACATGCCAAGCAAATTAGTGTTGGCTGTTGGCAGGAGGTCTTTGTTCTCTGCCACGTGGACCCCTCCATCGGGCTGGTTGAATGTCCACACAACATAACCACTTCTTCAGAGCCAGTGATGGGAGTGTGAACAAGATGAAAATCAGCCGAAACCGGTTTGGCTCAGTGGACAGAGCGTCGGCCTGTGGACTGAAAGGTCCTGGGCTCGATTCCGGTCAAGGGCATGTACCTTGGTTGCGGGCACATCCCTAGTCAGAGGTGGGCAAGAGGCAGCTTATGGATGTTTCTCTCTCATCGATGTTTCTAACTCTCTATCCCTTTCTCTTCCTCTCTGTAAAAAGTCAATAAAAATATTAAAAAAAAAAAAAAGATGAAAGTCACCATGTTTTCTATGAGTTAGTCTTGGAACTCACACTGTTGCTTCTGTAATATCCTATTGAGTTCACAAACCAATCCTACTCAGTGCGGGAGGGGACTACACAAGGGTGCAAATACCAGGATGTGAGAAGTGTTGGGGGTTGGTTAGCTCAGTATGGTATCAGCACAAAGTCAGCCCCACCTCGAGATAACTACTTGCTTGTTGCCTCTGCTTTCAGACAAGCGTTAGGAGAAGAAGGTTTGCAGCCTGAAGTTCCTCATTTTTAACACCATGAAAGCAAAGTCTATAATTTACCCTCAAAGAGGGAAACAGCCCTTCTCACTGTAAAGTTAACCCCTCCACTACACCCACAGCTCCCTCCTTCCCCAGTTCAGTTCTTCTGAAGGACCCTAACCGCGAGGCAGGTTGAATCCAGGGAAAACCCCTCGTCTGCCCCTATCTCTGCTCTGCTCTGTCTGGCTGACTACTACCTCCCTTGCCTCCACTATCTCCCGGAGAACACCTGTTTACATGGACTTTGGACATGACATCTGACTCAACCCTCTGGTGTTTACGTACTTCTAGTGTCTATGATTTGGCATAGCTGACTCATCGCTGCTGTGCCAGTTTGGGTTCCCTTTTTGATTGGTGCTGGTTCAACAGACTCATGTGGCCTGATACCACACAGATGTGCCCAGAAACTACAGCTTTGCACTTCCCCCAGCTTTGCACCTCTTTGAAATGTTCACATATGCCCAGATCTTCCATTAAAACAGTGATACACAAGCAAGCAAACAAACAAATCTCCCTCTAGCTACCTGAATAATTAATAATTCCTTTCTTTTTCTCTTCTCTCCTCTGCCTCCTTGTCAATCTTCTAAAAATATGTTTGTTTGTTTTTTTATTGATTTCAGAGAGGAAGGGAGAGGGAGAGAGAGAGAGAAACGTCAATGATGAGAGAGAATCACTGATGGGCTGCCTCTCGCATGCCCCCCCGCCCCCCTCTCCGGCAACTGAGGACCGAACCTGCAACCTGGGCATGCGCCCTGGCCTGGAATTAAACCCGAGATCTCCTGATTCATAGGTTGACGCTCAACCACTGAGTCATGCCAGCTGGGCTCAATCTTCTACAATGAATGACTCAGCCTGATTAGCTTGGTTTCAGTGGTTGAATGTTGGCCTATGAACCAGGAAATCATATGTTCGATTCCTGGTCAGGGCACATGCCCAGGTTGCAGGCTCTGTCCCCAGTGAGGAGCATGCAGGAGGCAGCCGATCAATGATTTTCTCATCATTGATGTTTCTATCTATCTCTCCCTGTCCTTTCCTCTCTGAAACCAATAAAAATATAAAAAATAGCTGAGATCCGTTTGGCTTAGTGGATAGAGCGTCAGCCTGCGAACGAAAAAAAGGTTCCGGGTTCGATTCCGGTCAAGGGCACGTACCTTGGTTGCGGGCACATCCCCAGAAGGGGTTGTGCAAGAGGCAGCTGGTCGATGATTCTCTCTCATCGATGTTTCTAACTCTCTATCCCTCTCTCTTTCTCTCTGTAAAAAATCAATAAAATATATTTTTAAAAAGTATATATATATATATATAAAATGAGTGATCCATTTTTATTTCCAACCTTACCATTCTGAAAAAACTGCTCTATTAAGGAAACTGGAATCTAAACCTGTAAACAGGAGAATTTATTGACGTGGGAGCAGTCTCACAGGATATAAGCTTTAGCATCCTGGCAAGGGATGGTGCAAAATCACTGCCAGGTAGCTTCCAGAAGCCTGGAAAGTTGATGACCTGTGAAGAGTAGGTCTGAAATGCTTAAATTTCTAGGGAAGACTGTAGGAGGAAGGAGTAAAAGACTCAGAAAAGTGGAGATGCTGGAATAGGTATAGGATGGTAAGACAAGAAGACCCACCAGAGGATTAGGCTCCCCAGGATGGCTCAGAGGAGTCACATTCCTTAAGGGCATTGGGAACGCAGTGGCGATGGGGCACCAGCTTCATTAAGAAGTTCACACTACAGCTGAAACCAGTTTGGCTCAGTGGTAGAGCGTCGGTCTGCGGACTGAAGGGTCCCGGGTTCGATTCCGGTCGGGGGCATGTACCTTGGTTGTGGGCACATCCCCGGTAGGGGGTGTGCAGGAGGCAGCTGGTGGATGTTTCTCTCTCATCGAAGTTTCTATCTATCTCTCTCCCTTCCTCTCTGTAAAAAATCAATAAAACATATTAAAAAAAAAAAGTTCACACTACAGAAACTGCATTTTCAGAAGTCTCCTCCAGCAGGCTTGAAAATGGGCATGCCCAGGAGATTCAGGACAGACCTCCCAGGGCATCCCTCTGTTGCCCCTGTGAACAGAGGGGCCTCTGGGGCTCCCCAGACCTGCTCTTTTGTCTACAAGGGTGAATACAGCTACAGCAAGACAAAGTTGGTCACTGCCTTCCATCCCAGATATCAATACTTCTGATGAACAGAATGGCCCCAGAGAACCCCTTGCCAGACCTTTTTAACCACATGGATGATTCCAGCATGAACTTGATACCACAGAGTCCAGCTGGTCCCAATTTGGTTCAGGAACCGATGAGTCAGATCAAGGAAGCAGCAGCAGCAGCAGCAGCAGCAATCACTAAACTTCAGATTCCCATAGCTCCCTTGCACCTCAGCCCATACGCCCTTCCAATCTGGCACGGGACTCTGTCATAATGGAGAGTCCCACATGTGATGTCCAAATGCAAGATCCTCAGTTGGAGAGGCTGAAGGCCTCAGCTCCTGCTTTGCTCCCTGATGCTTATACCGTAGAGCAAATCATGGGATGGTACAGTTTTCCGGATGAGGAGGAAATATCTGATTCTTCTTTCCGCTGTGTATATCAGTGTCTCACCCACCGGCCCCAGCTAGAAGAAAAGGGTCCTTAGCATCTTTGCTGACTCAGTTTTCGGTCTGTCGTTTGAGCAAACCTCATCCAGTATGACAAGCCGAGGCCATTCAGAATCCCTCCACCACAGCACACTTTGGATTTCTCTGATCAAAGTGCTAATAAATACCATAGGACATAACTGAGGGCAGGAGGGGTTGTCTTGGAACTTGGCTCACGAAGAGCCAAGGGGCTGATAGGATACGGAGGTAATAGACACCAGGCATGGCCCTTAACTGCGGATGCCAGGGGTTCATGACATCAGAGCCAGAGTGGCAGCCAGGGGATCTGACCAGAGGAGAGCTTCAGAAATTGTGACTAGAACAGGGTTTTCCCAGGAGGAAAAAAAAGCACTGCTTCCCTTGTATAACCTGAAAAGAATGAGAATGAGTAAGCAGGAGAATGAGGAAGATGGCCACCCAATGAAAGGTCACAATTCCCTGCCTGGTCTCCATGCCTGAGTCAGTGTTCAGAAGCAGAATCCAGTGACTGAAAGGTGGCCAGGTTCCCAGGGAGAAGGACCTACAATGCTATGGCAAGAATCAATTATCATGGTTTCTCCAGTCCTTCTAACAGAGACCTAGAATATTTCCTTGGATGATAAGAACACTGGGACATTCTGATCACTGTTGGACACAAGGTCAGAGGTCAACAAGTACCCCGAGACCTGAAGCCTCTTCATGCCCCTGATTAGAGTGAGAGCAACTGGAGTCCCTGGACCCACTGGTTAGCATTCTCCTAATCTCCAAATGTGCAGTTGGGATTTGGAAGTTGGGCTAACCCGCATATTGCATCCTTGTGATCCTTCCCGACTGTGATGGCTCTCAGCTGCAGAGTAAGAGCCATCACAGTAGGGAAGGCCACGTGGGAGAATCTGAAACTGCACCAAGCCCCCTACCCCCCACCCCTGCCCCCAGGCCAATATAGTAGCCACAAAATATCATGTGTGCATCCCAGGTTGGGGAGGAGAGCAACTGCTAGTGCCATTCTTAAAAACGGCATCTGACCAGAGGACCTTCTCTATGGCCCAGAATGTAGGGGAGTGG